CCGCCAACTCTTGGGTTACTATTTTACCAACGAATATAGGGATTGACAGTTACATTCTAACGCCCCCACGGCTAAAGGGCAAGCATGTTTGGTGCGACGGGGATTCGAACCCACGACTTTCAGTTTGCGAGTCGAGTGCCCTAACCACCTGGCCATGCCGGGCCCCTGTTTTCTCTGATGTTAAAACTAAAATGTATTTCACCACAGTTTACCATATACTGTGTTAAAGAAGAGTTTTGGTGAAAACATAAATGCAGTATTGATACTTCGAACATATATTACCTGTTAGTTGGTATGTACCAAAGGGGGCGCTAAGATAGAGAAATGCCGAAAACTAAAAATTATTTTAACTTAAGATTAATATTTCTTTCAAATGAATTTTTCTATTCTAAGACTAGATTAAATAGCACTGAAAAAAGAATGAATCAATGATACTTTCAAGATAAAATATTCAAAAATAGTTTCAACTTTAATAATTCCGAGGAGTTTGTTTGCTATAGCTTTCATAAAATAACAACATCTCATAAACTTGAATTAGAAACTGTCGCTGTACTTTTATTAAATTTCACCCAAACTTATATGGATGTATTGTAAGATGATACGACACCAGGGAGCGTATAAAACCGAAAATCTGGGAAGAGAAAGTTTACATTCATAAATATCTTCATTTACAAATAAAAACTGTTTTTGATATAATCAGCCTAGCAGTATCTCACAGATAAGCATAACAACTAGTTGTTGCTATTAGTATAGTTTTTTACATAATATCAAAGTAACAGAAAGATTCTTGCATAGAAACTGGAGAACATTTCATCAGATTGTCAAGAAACATGTTATAATTAAGAAAACGTTTCATTAAAATCCCCTGTTTTTGTATAATTCTGCATGAAATTATAATGTGAACTTGATACTTGAAAAATGTAATTGGTATAAATCAAAACAGTGAAGATAACTCCGTGTTTTACATGGTACATCCTCTCGTGACGTGGGTTCTCACGTTTCGTTGGCCATTCAAACTGATTGGAAATATCTCCTTTTCTAGGTTTCAGGTTTGTTTCAATGAACTACTGCTTTCAAACTGATTGGAAATATTTCCTTTTCTAGGTTTCAGGTTTGTATCAATGAACTGCTGTTTTCACACTGATTGGAAATATTTCCTTATCTAGGTTTCAGGTTTGTATCAATGAACTGCTGCTTTCAAACTGATTGGAAATATTTCCTTTTCTAGGTTTCAGGTTTGTATCAATGAACTGCTGTTTTCACACTGATTGGAAATATTTCCTTATCTAGGTTTCAGGTTTGTATCAATGAACTGCTGCTTTCAAACTGTTTGGAAATATTTCCTTTTCTAGGTTTCAGGTTTGTATCAATGAACTGCTGTTTTGTAGACATAATTGTCACAGTTCATAGTTGCGAGGCCCGGCATTATAATGTCACAGTCAATCCCACTGTCCGAGGTAAAGAGTAGCCCAAGAGTTGACATACCCAGGTGGTTAGGGT